CTCTGCTTTGATTCCCCTCTGACATGATCTCGAAGAAAATACCTTTAAAAACTGAAAAGCGCACAATAGATCAAACTGAATCCTTATTTGACATAAAAAAATGCAGTAATAGTGAATTAGTTCTCATGTAGCTGATCACAAATTATTGTTCTGTTGTAAACTATTCATAGTATTACTATTGATGTCAATTTTGATATCCTTGTTTACTACTTTTATTCTGCTAAGTTATGGGTTGTCATTCTAATAAATACATTTAGATGGCTAAATTTGTATTTAGTTCCTTCATTTCACACGTACCTTTCACAAAAGTTGCACCAACGTTCTCTGATTTCTCAACAGGTGGTTGTCTGCTTAAAACCCTCCTTCAATATACCTTTTAATGCAGGTAGAGTTATTGTTCAACCTCTTTGCTTTCTCTAGGGATTTCTGATGTTTTCATTTTAGTTCTCATTTGGGTAATAGTTTTCAACTCTAACTTGAACAAAGGTTCATATTTTATTGATTATCATTAAAGTAGATGTGATGTGTTTCAGTTTAATGAAAGTTTGCATTCATTGGATCCCTGAAATGTAATCAAAACATAAGACAGTAGGAAGAATAGATATTTATATTTATAGACATCATGAGAATGGTGGACAAAGCAACTGATGGACACATAGTACTTTTGAGATATTTCCACTGCTTATTTAACTGCTTTCTCACAACAAAAATATGTATGACTACTCTTAATTTTTAGATACTTACAAGGAGCTGTACAATTAACCATTTTTATTAACTTGCTGGGTATTTTTGAAACATTTGCATAGAATTAAAGCCTTCCTAATCATCCATGGAATTTACATATGGTGTCTGGTATTTTACTGAACTCTTTCAAATACACCAGATGGTTTTCACAACTTGTCTTACTTTCCTCTGACTTGTCTGATACTTTCCAAAGTGTCAGGAAAGAACTTCTTCATTAAATTCTAGAAGATACCTTGCAAATACTTTTACAGATTTGGAGAAAGTATCTAATATATTCTAGCAAAGATTCAAAGGGTACGTGAAGAAAATTTAATTTCTTTTTTTATAGCTTCTGCCTGCACAATAATTTAGTATGCTTGCCTTATCAACTATAGAGGATGAATAAATATTTAGCTATAACTTCATCTGCCTAGCTATAAGCTCATCTGTGAATAAAAAAAGTAGATTTGTAAACTGCATAATGACTTTTTATGAAGGTAAACAAACACAAGGGGTAAAGTAGAAAAAAATCAGCAGCATTTTCTAATTGATGTTACCCAGCTTTTTGGACTTTTCCTTGGAATGAATATTAAAATAGTGGAGAGTGACATGAATTTGAAAACAAATCCCCAGAGAGGTCAATGGAGGTAAAACAGATTTAATAATGCTAATGGTTTAGGAATCCCACTAGAGTAAACAACTGTATTTTATGATAAGCCCAGTGAGTATTTAAAGTGATGTTAATAGAGGACTGCTAATATCCCCAGTGTTCAATAGAGGTCTCAGAGCATATGTTTCGTCTTACCTGAGCGGATTTTGTGAACCACACAGCTCCCAAGTCTATCTAAGTAATAAGTACAGAATGTGAACATTGTGAGAATTTTAAACTATCATAGCTTTACACATTGTGATTATCATTATTTATGAGAGCAATAGTTTTAGCCTACTAATGTAAGCATATTTCACTTTGTTGAAATGTTTCACTTCTTTTTCTTAGAGGTGTAACAATATAAAGAGAAAAATAGACTAATGCAACTATTTTGTGGATTTTTTTTTCTTCAAATAATTGATTCAAATTTTTTTTCATCTTTTTAACATTTTTTTAGAGATCCTTATTGAAGTTGAAATATTTTGTCACTCTCTACAAGTTTTCAATTGTTTGTGCCATGCGTCCACATGGAAATAGAGTATTTAAGGGAACTAAAAGAGTAAAACAGGTTGCAGAGTGAAAATTTCACCCTTGTATAATCATGTGGATAGCAAAAGTGCAATTTTGTGAAAATGCTAATCTTTTAGCCCACCTGTAACCTGACCTATAACTCCAAACACATCATACATGTAACACAAACAATGGTCGACTACATGTTCATGACATTGAACATGTAGTCTACACATATGTTGTTGTATTGACTGTTAAACTTGTGCAGGCTTTATATACATGTTCCATACTCTACTTTAAGCACCACTTACAGGAGTAAAAATTGTATTTTGAGGCATTCTTGATGTCTCTGTGTGGATGAAACTTTTTTGCAATGTGGGTGTTTTTTTGAAACTGACATTTTTTAAGAAAAACATTCCTCTGTATTTGTGACTAGGATGCCAGTGAATGTATATTTTGAATGTTAAGCATTTAAAATCTTTAAAAAAAGGAATTTCTTTAATACACAAATATGTAGCATAAGAAAAACTGTTTGTACAAAAGTTTAACAAGGACCAATGTTGCATAAGATTGTTTTCAGTTGAGAACTTTCTTACTCTCCTAAGATGCATTCTGGGGAAACTAGCACACTAATTACACCCTTGAGATGACGACTGGCATGAGACCTCAATTAGCTTCCTCATAACATTCATTTGTGCTGTTTCTTTTTTTGATTGTGTAAGGTTTGAAAACAAAACATAAAAACTTTGAACTACTGTAAACTCATTTATCACAAATTGAATAAGACTGCTAAACAAGAGGAATAAGGGATGAAAAAATATTTGGTAACACTTTATTTGAAGGGGGGTGAATAAGACTGTCATGACACTTTCATAAACATGACATAACACATGTCATGAACATGAATAAGCCTTCGTGAATATTTATGACTGTTGTCATAAAGCGTCATTTGGTAAATTATGACACTTTTAATACAAAGTTGACATTATTCAAAATGTCTTTGTTATGACAACTTGACATTAACCAAGAAATCATTACTGTTTAAACTTTACCTTTAATAACATAAAGTTACCTGATTTTTTAAGTGCAATCAGTAATACAGCAGCAATTAGCAAGCATCTGGTGGAACTGCACATCTACTGAGATCATTAAACAAGCTACTTAATGAAATGCTGGTAAAAGTGATAATAGAGGAGAGATGTTATGATGACTTCCTTTTAAAGAGAAAGAGACCCAATTTCTAGGTGCTAAATTACATCAAGTTTATTTTAAGTCATAATGGATTTATATATAGCATTTTTTTTAATGTAAAATGAAGATAAGAGGGTTACTGGATTGTGCTATAAAATGCATAATATTGCCCCTTTAACATAGAAACTCTTGGACTGACAATTCTCTGAACAGAATAAACTGAACAAATTGACTTGACATTAACTTAACTGAATAGAAATGGGAATGTCACATACTCCAAAAATGCCACAGGGTCGGTGTTGTTTTTTACTTGCTGCACATTATGAAAAATATTGGAAATTAAAAAAAAGTAACACAAAGACTATCATAACATTCCTGTAATGCTGTACTTTTAAAACAATGCATGACACTGTCTGTGAAATGACCAGCTATTTTTTTCCCCACTTATATTATGAATGTGTTGGAAGAGTAAGTAAAAAAGAAAGGATTTCATGTAAGGAATGGTTTATCTTTGCATTTTTACCACTCACAATTGGTGCAAACCTGCTTCATCTTTCACATAGTTTAGGTAATGACCAATGATAATTAAACATTTTGTGTTGGCTTTGACTTTTCCTCCAACTTAGAAATGTAGTGACTTAGGTTAGCAAAGTCTGGAGTCATTTAGCAGCCTGATGTGAAATGCCTATAAAAGTAATGCTTTTTACTGGGAAGAGGTCTAAAAGTCAGGCAAGCCTCCCCTTCAGCACAAATAACAAATGCCAGTGCTGCCACCTGCTGGGAGAAAAAGGAAACACTCAACTGTTCCATTTTGATCCAGCAGAAAATTTGTTCGTTTAGATCACTTTGGTGTTGTTAGAGTAATCTACACTTTAACAACACCAATGTGTTTTATAGCTGGAGATGCTATCTCTCATCTTTCCCAACAGAGGGCCGAAAGCTCATATTTTAGATTTATAGTTAGATTTTATGTCATAGTTAACCTTACATATTATGTATGTTTGCATGTAGTTGCTGTTAATTGTATTACAGATTATATATGAATTGTCACATTAGCACTGTAATTATGTATAATAATATCAAATTTCCCATAAAAATATCAACCAAGCAGTTAAAAGGGGGCTAGTCTGTCAAAAACTAACAGGCCACGTTTCCTTCCCTGTCCATCTCTGGTTCTAACAACTTCCCTTTTTAAAATTTTGTTTTAAGAGTCCAACTCTATTCACTATTTTATATAGATACAATTAGGCGCTTTACAAAAAATTCATTTCAGTTCAATTCCAGTTCATCCTAGTTTTCAAACAGAATTCAGATGTTTTGAATCTGCTAGTTCTTCCACATACCAGGCTGAATACCAAGGAGGATCGAACCATTCAGCCATTCAAGAATTTTGAATGCTGCACCACTACAGCTGTCCTTAGTTGATTATGTGGATATTTTTAAAAAGCAGTTAAAAACTTTCTTCTCTGAACAGACTTTATTTTAAATGTTTATGGCGACTGTGGGCAAATCCTGAGTTTTTGAATGAGTGTTTGACTCCGTGGGTAGGTTCGATCTCAGCTTCCTCTTGCCACAGGACGATGTGCCCCTGGGCAAGGCACTTAACCCCAAGTTGCCTACCGATCTACGCATTGGTGGATAAATGTGACTCTAGTGCAAAATGCTTTGAGTGGTCAAAATGATTGGAGCAGGGCTACATAAGTTCAGTCCATTTACCATTAATTTTTATTGTGTATTATATGTTGCTTTGTCATTTTTTCCATTGATTGTTGAGAAGGTCAGTTTTTGAGCAGAGAAGAAGCGACCTTGTTTCAATAAATTGCATATATATTTTTTAAATCAACATAACACTTTAGTCTTTTGAGAGATGCCTATCTCCTTTACTTTCAGAAAAATGTATTTGTTGAACGAATCAAATCTAAATTTATTAGTGGTAAGAATAATTTAGAGTTTTACTGAATCTATTGTGTTGAATTTGTAACTTCATCTACGATAAATAAATAAAACCAACAAGACAATGTTATTTCAAAAGACTCTTTCAGACAACTTTATCCAAAGTTGTGAAACCAAATAGAGCTTGTTTACAGCATTGCATCACGACACCCTCTGAGGTTCATTACCAGGGAAAAGTACAGAGATGTCACTCTGGAGGGCTCACTGTGGCACATCTAGTGTTGCTTCTTTGTAAACAGTTAGGTCATTAACCTAATGAGCAAAGTTTATATGGAAACAGTCACCAAGTATTGGTAACCATAACACAACAGTTTTCTTTTCAAAGTACCAAAGTTCAATGAGAAGTTGATTCCCAAACTGGGTGATGACACACTCAGAGCCAGCCAATCAGATGATGAAAAGAACATAGTGCTGGCTGTTTGTCTTCATCAGTTCAGAAGTTATTGGCAAATAACACACCATTTGATTTCAGTTTAATTATTTTTGTGATTTTATGTTTTGTGGTATTTCCAGTATCCCGTTATACACCACATAAAACCTTTACAGTGAGGTGACACCAGTTCATTATTCAAACATTTAGGATTGTGATGTCCTGGATGACAAAGAATCTACAACAAATTCAGTTAATATATCTGTTCTTGTGTAACATGTCATAATGCCCAGAATGTGCTGTATTACAAACTACTGATGGATATAATATTCAATTGCTGAAATACCCCAGTGATATACAAAATAAGAAGTATTAACTTTGTGATTTAGTTTTACATTCTATCTGATGATGCTTTTACACCTGTTCCCTGTGACACAGTAAAGGGTATTTCCATTCTACTTTTTTCTATTTATTCAAGGCTCTACAAAATAGATGGATTGATGAGAATCTAATTGGTGATTGACCTTATTAAATTAAGACTGCATCTGGCATCAAAGTAGACAAGCTACAGCAACTAAATTGAAACACCAATGAAATTAGGATTCGTATGACCTTCAACCATGTGAATCCATGGATCACATAGTTGCTTACATGTCTATTATTCATAACAACACCAAACATTTCAATTTTCACTTTCAACAGCTCATATTTGTTCATTAGCTAATCAGGAAACAATAACATTTTCTTTTTAATTGCCCTGGACCAATCATAGTTAATATTATTAGTAATAGTAACAGCAGCATTACTATTGTTACTCTTTATACAAATGACATTTTTCAGCTCACGTCTTCTTATACTCCATAATTTGCTTTGCAAAAGCCTTCCTTGCATTTTGTAGTCCTAATGACCGTAAGAAGTGTAACATTTGTCCTTATGTGCAAAACACTGAAAGTTAGTAAAAGCTGAAAAATACCTCCATTCCTTTTATTTTTATTAGTTACGTATTTAAACAAAGACACCTGTTTAAAAGTTCAAATAGGTATACATCATTTAAATTTGCAAGCAAACATAACATGAAAATGCAACATAAAAGAGCTGTAAGCACAAGAGACCAGGTTAATTGAAAGTGTTAATAAAATGTTCAACATAGTAGGATGATGAAAACATTTTTATTGCACACTATAGCTGCACACTATAACAAAAAAGTGAATTAATGGACTAACATTGTTACAACAAACTTTACTAGGACACGGGCCCAGATGGATTGAACTTAAAGTAAATTTATGAACTGAATTACTCACAATAAATTAAAAAAAATCACACATACAAACTGAAATGTTTCTAAAATGCTGAACATATTGGTGGCTCTATTTTTTTACAATGATCACTTAAAGAAGGAAACATTCCCTGTACGTTTAGAAACATTACAAAAACTGATTAAATGCAAGTTCACACAACAAATAAAGCAGTTTTTCATGGAGACAGTTTGCATTAGCCACAGTTTAAGTAATAAACTATTCACAAAGAATATGTTTATTCTTGAAAAAGTTAAGCACCTTTTCACGAATTTCTTTTGTTTTCAATCCATAAATTATTGGATTTAATGTTGGGGGGAAGATTAATGTCGACACTCCCATAAATCTTCTTAAATGTGGTGAAATATTCTGCAGTCTGTAAGATATGATTGTAAAGAGGCCCAAGCACTCAAACAAAAGAAAAACAAAAAGATGTGTGGCACATGTCTGCAGAGCTTTCGCTTTGGTGTCCGACTGTCTGGATCTAAAACATGCAATAAGGATGCGAAGATATGTATAAAAAACCAGACCATTAGCTATCACTTGTGTAGTAGCACTTATAAAAAGACCATAGATGTTATTAATGGTTGTATCTTCACATACCAAAGTCAACAAACTTGGGTTATCACAGTAGGAGTGTGTTATTTCAGATCTACAGCGGTACAAACGCAAAAGAAGAATAAAAAGCACAGCTATTAAAACCACACAAGAAGACCAAACTAATATGATTATTTTCATAATGTGAGCATTAGTCATTACAGTGTTGTAACGCAAAGGGTAACAAATGGCGATGTATCTGTCATAGGCCATTGCAGTCAGGATGAACACTGAACCGGCTGCATAGATATGGATAAAAAAAGCTTGGATAATGCAAGCTGACAACTGGATCCTTCTGCTGTTTGTCATTATCTCCTTAATGAGGTGTGGAAAGAGTGCTGAAGAACCTATCAGGTCATTGATGGGAAGGTTCACCAGGAACAGATGCATTGGCTGATGCAAAGATTTGTTCAGCACAATGGTGAAGATAATGGTAAGGTTACAGAAGAGGATGATCATGTAGTTCAGGGTTGCAAAAAGGAATGCAGGGAAGACGCCTTCATGAGGGAGATCATAGCCTTTAAGCTGTAAGACATATGACGTATTATGCATGATGTCCATCCTTTCAGTTTCTCAAAGTGTGAATAAAAAAAACAGTTTAACAAGCTCTGAAGCTCTGTATTTAGAATATGGCATTTAAAAGCAAAATGACATCAGAAGACTTCAGAAGAACGGACGGTGTTGGCATAAAGTAAAACCTTAAAATAACATTGATTCTGATAAATGTCGAAACGCTCCAGGTCTACAAACAATTCACATACGATTTTTAACTTTTTTACCACTTGAACGTAATTTCAAATAAATCAAGTGAAACAGCAAAATCACACAGTCTGTACTCATTCATAAAGCAGAGCACATTTTTGCATTGTTGCCTATTGACCAGTTGTGCTGATGTACAACTTTCTAGAACTAACTGGCAAGACATTGGAGGCAGTGCGATATTTATTTTCTATACAACTCCCATGGGAGTTACAGGATTGTGTTTTTTCTTACAATATGTGGTTAACAGGGTAACGGCCAGGGGTTAGAAACTATGTGTCGGCTAATTGTTGCTACTAGCGCTCTGTAATACATCCTTGAGGGTAAAAGTCTAAATAACCAGTGACCAGGATGTGTTGGGTCAACAGAAAGCTGCCCTTTTGCTGGCCCTGTACCGGTCATGAGTAGAGCAAAGGTCAGTTCTGATAATCCTGTCTGCAGACCTGATTGTTCATTGCTGTTTGGACCTGTCCTGTTTTGTGATTGAGCCAAACCACACAGATGGGTAAACACAGAACATATTTATTTAGAAAATTGTAGATTGTAGAGTGCTATGGCTAGTATTAAATCCACATCTTTCTACTTTTCTTGACATCACATGTTTTCTAAAGATTAAGGACTAAACATAAGAGCTCTTGGTTTAATCAGACCTTTCATCAACTTAAAAACAAGTATTTGGGCTGTTTGCAATTAAACAATTAGTCTTTTTTGTTGAAGAGCATCATTGCATTTGAAGTTATAATATTTTCAACTCGGCATCAGTGGAGGTGGAGGAATATATCCAAGAATCAGTATGTTCATAGTTAATTAAGTTAGCAGAAGTTGGAAAGATTGGTCTTCTTGGGTCTTAAATGGGATACAGGGAAAAGCCGTAAGGGTCCAGAGACGTAGTTATCAGAAAACTGGAGGAAATTAGAGAAGGTAACCTCTGATGGTTAAAACAATTTTAAAAAGAAATCCAAATTTGACTAGCAGCAAATGTAACAGCTTTAGTACAAGCTTGAGTTTCTCTGTTTGAGCAATTCAATACTCTCACCACAGTTCCCTAGTGAATAGAATAGAAAGATATATTCTATTTTATTGTTCCACAGTGGTCAGATTCATGGTCTGTTCCCTTCAAGGGAAGGAAAATAATAAACAGACCATTACCAAAGTTCAATCTTCTAAAACAAAAGCATTTATTTTTTGTGATGCAGGAATACTTCAGACTCAGTTGACGTATATAGACCCTTCCATATTATTTTTTTTAATTTAACAACCACAAGAGGGCAGCATACTTCAAAGTAAAATGGAGAGGCTTATGTTTTCATGATTGAATGATGTAATGCACCTGTGTCAAACTCAAGGCCCGCGGGCCACATGTGGCCCGCCATGTCATTTTATGTGGCCCCACCAGCATTTTATAGG